ATCGTCTGTTGACCTTCATTCAGCCTCGGGTGGAGAGAGGAGCTGGCTGCTCTCTCTCTCCCTCTCTGTCTCTGTCTCTCCACACACACACGCACACACACACACACTATCTATGTTTATCTAACATGTCAGAGCCTATAGGATGATTTAAAAACAATAAATAACATCAAACAGCCATCTTCCAACCTGTTCTGCCTCTAGAAATAAGTTACTTTTCCCCCTCTCCTTTCCTCCTGCTTCACAGCAGGCGCTTTCATATCCGCAGCTGCCCCCCACCCACCCGCGGGTGCTTTTATTTTTTTCTGTCAGGCTGTCAGAGCGCTACTCCTCTGTCCAGTGCTGGTGTGGGGTGAAAATCCTCCACCTCAGATGTTCAGAGATGTAACTCTCTGCGATACTGTGGTCACTTTCCATGTAGCATCAATTATGCTAATGCTAGCTGCCTGTCACGTTCTCTCATCCTGGCCACACCTCCGCTCTCTAACCCCCCTTCCTCCACCCACACCCCCTCCCCTACCCACTTTGATGCATTTTTCAAATTTCGCCTTGGGGCGGAGTTATCTTTTCACAGGGCGGGTAAGTTACACTTTAAATTGTGTGCTAAGTGGGCGGGGCTAAAGTGATCTCATCAAACTAACACATTTATATGTTTAGCAGGTCTCGTTGATGATGCACACCAAATTTGGTGCAGATCGGATCATGTCTGTGTGATTTAGAGTTAACTATGTGCAAATGGCGAGGCATCAGCATTCGCCACGCTGCCACACCCACACAGTCCCACAATCAGTCGAGAGAAGCATGCAACATGTGAAACCTGCATGTTTAAAGCTGTTGGGGGAGTTAGCTCAAATGTGCAAGAAAAGAGACAAAATGGCAGCTTTGATCCAAAACGGCCGACCTCCAGTGGGGATTGGACCATGACTCCAAGAGACCTTTTTTTTAGATCCTGAGAGATTACACATGTACCAAATTTGAAATTTCATGATTCCAGGTTGAAGCATAGCTTGGGAATATTTTTTTATCATTGTAGGGAGTGCCGTGGATAAAATAAGCCGCCAACCCCCCACCCCCAACTAACTAACGAACGAACGAACTAACTAACTAAATAAATAAATAAATATTTATTTAAGACTGTACTGCATTCCTGTAGTGGGGCAGATTTGGATCGACCATCGTGAATTTTGTGCAAATTGTGGAATTTAGAGCCAAATGTATTTCAATGGTGTGATATAGCGGGTAAAATGAGTATTGAACACGTCAACATTTTTCTCAGTAAAGATATTACTAGAGGAGCTAATGACGAAAAATTTTCACCAGATGTCTGTAACAACCCAAGTGATCCATACATACAAAGAAATCAAACCATAAATGTCCAGAAATGAAGTTATTTGTAATAATGTGGAATGGCACAGGGAA